GCCAGATTAACTAGTCCATCCTTTTAACTCAGCTTCACACAAATCTCGGGTCATGGGCAAAATGCATACAAGTTCTTTGCCATACTCTAAAGAGTCTAATTCCCAACTAAGTCCTCATTCCCATCTGAAACCCCATTAACATTTAAAGTCTGCATTCTTATCAGCATTCTGGTCTTCTGAATCCTCACCAGAATTACTCATTAAGCTCTGCTGACAGCATTGTCTATCCTGCTTCTCCAAATTTTTCAAACTCCCCCAACAAACCAATTCCACAGACTTCTGAATCACATGGTCAGGTATAGCCACAGCAATAATCCCACTTCTTAGTACCAATTTTCTAGGATAATCAGTTTTTCATTGCTGTGACAAAATAGCTGAGATGAACAGCTTATAAAAATGAAAGATTTATTGAGGCTTATGGTTTCAGAGGATTTGGTCCATAATCAGCTCACTCCATTGCTTTGGGGCTTGTGGCAAGGCAGAAGTTCATGATGGGGAACATGGCTCACCTCATGGTATCTGGGAAGCAAAAAGGAGGAGGAAGGAGCTAAGGTTCCACTACTCCTTCAAGGACATGCCCCCATTGTCCTAACTTTCTTTTTGCTAGGCCCCACCTCTTAGGTTTCATAATTCCTAACAGTACCACAGGCTGGTGACCACATGGCCTTTGGGGACATCCAAGATCCAAACTATAGAAAATTCAATGCAAATTTCACTAACTTCAGTTCACAAAACATCTTTTATAGCTTTCTCTCTCTCTCTCTCTCTCTCTCTGTCTCTCCATTTGAGATTTATGGATTGCATTTGATGCCCCTTTAGATGTCTCGGGATGAAGAGATGTGACTTATGTGTGTTACTCTGCAATCTGGCACACATATAAGATCATATACTAACAGAATCCAATGGAACTTTAGTAAGGGTGCTAAGGGTATTCCTACATTGCAAAGAACACAATTTTGGGATTGGAATAAGATGAGTTAGTCGTTGGTAAAGGCCATTAAACTGGTGTAAGTAGTCAGAATTTCCCGGTTTCATTTAGGACACACACAGAAAACAATATTTCCATGGCACAGTAAGGTAAACAGATGGGGTTCTTTGACACTGAAGGTGACCTGCCTAGGGCTCCAGGTGTCTCAAGATCTATTTTTGTGATATTATGAGAAATGTTAGGACCAAGACTCTGGCAATTCTGTGGTTTCTGAGTTTGTGTCCCAGGATGTTCTGATCTCCAACCCCCATTGCTTTGGGTAAGCTGGTGTGTTTCTTCTGGAAAAAGCCTAGGCCAGGGTCTTGCTCTGTCTCTTTCCATCAACCACAAATGCCTATAACCCAGAAAAACAGAGACAAAGGTGGTATTTTTTTCATATTATTTATTCGGTCAACTAGCTACATGAGGAGGGTAAACAAATTTATTGAGCTTTTTAGGGAGTCAGGGGAATAGGAAGGTGGTATTTAGATAGAACATAATTTTACAAATGGTTAAATGGAAGATTTACAAATATCCGTGTTAAAAAAAATTGTCCTCTGAGGGTAACAGTGGAAGATAAAAATCATCATTAAGAAAATAAATAAGCCACTTCTGATCATTGCATTCCCCAAAACCAAAGTCTCCACAACTGGTTTTCATTTTAGACTGTCACAATTTGCAGATGCTTAGATGATGCAGATTTCCTACACAGAAAGACTAACACTGAGTGACAGATTAATACAATGCAGAAGGAAAATAGCTGTCATCTGCTAGCAAAAATAGATTTATGCTGATGTTAATATAAAAATTAAAGACATTCAAATAAATTATGCCAAAACATTGTAACTAATGCAACTAAAGATCATATGAACAACTTCTTATTGCTCCTACTCAAGACTAAAAGGTCTGAGGAATTCTACAACAGCTAGAGGCCATAATGTAACTTGTAGGATATATGGTAGGCCTGAATGAGGGTCCAAGTGCCTGGTGAACACTATATTATTTTTCTTTTAGGTTTAACCCATAGAACAAGGTCACTCATCAATCTGGAAACTGCAGGTGAAGAAATGTGCTTGAGGCCCAGGTAAGTGATTTATTGGAAGCAATTAAAAGCATTATATGAGAAAAGCAGTAGCCCAAATGAAGTCAACATTAAAAAAAAAAATCAGTTTGTATTTTTTTTTCTCCTGGAGTCTCAAAAGGATGTTGGGTAGGTAACTGCACAGATGTCCTAAAGCAAACTCCCACCTGTTCAGTTAGTTCCAGAATCCACTTAGCTGCTGGGAATTGCAGGGAGGAGCTACACCGAGGCTTTTGTATTACCTTTGATTCTTGGAAATAGCAACTTTAGGGTGCTCTGGGACCCAAATGGGAATGGATCTGCTTCCCCACTACACTGGAAATGCTGGTTCTTGAATAGAACCTCCTGTAGTTTGGGGGAGTCAATAGTGACAATAGGAACAGTGAGGCGCAGGATGGTTGCTTGCACCAGGTCCCATTTCCAAGAATATGTGTGTAATTTACCATAAATTCGAGGTGGTGAGATTTTATAAATAAAATTGAGGTTAAAACGTACCTCAAATGGTACAGGTGGGCATTATTTAATTGAGAGATTCAGAGTCCAGGACATTAATTCTACCTCAGTTCTTCCCAAACAATGCCATGTTTCTGTTTATTCATCTTAAAAATGTAAGAGTCCTAGACATACAAATTTGGTGGAAAGGTGCTTCTGAGAGAAGGAACAGAAGAAAAAAGATGCTACCCTCCCCTTCCAAGGAAGTTTTTAGATTTGAGTATGAGGATGCATCACAAGCTGTTTAAATCTCAGGAAAGTCTTTTTTTATAAAGATCTTGCTACTGACTAGTAGATTTTTAAAATTTGCATATTGATCAGTACCATATTTTGTTCATTCTAACTCCCAATTCAAATAAGATGACTACAGAGATGATGTTTGGTTCACTTGTCCTTGTGATTCCAACATAATGCATACAATCATTTGAAATAACAATATTGGAACAATTAAAAATTTCCAAATTCTGCGTGACAAAGCTACATTCATTCAGGCTGTACATTCTGTGTTTGTTGAGTTTTTTTGTTTTGTTTTGTTTTTGATTCAGCCTGTGGAGCAGGCCTATTTAACAGCCAGTGTTACTAAAATTCTACATTTATCCTCACATTGTGAAAACTAGATTTGTTTTTCCCCCGAGGATCCTTAAATCTACAGCCTGTTTCCTCCTGTCTGTGAGCAGAATTTGGATAAATACTTGAAAAGAAAAAGAACAAAGGACATACCAAAGAATTGGATGGTGTCATTCAGCTGTTTAGAAATGGAAATGATATTCACACTGTGTTCATTTTAACATCTCCATAAAATGGAATAAATGAATCCAATATTTAATGAGTTGTTTTAAAATGCCAGTCACTTGCAGACTCCAAAAGGCTACTGATCCATTTTATATAACTCTCCATTTTGAAAAGACGATGCTGTCCAATTGGTTATTTGATATGACATTAGAAAATCATGCATTCTTTTCCTGTTATTTATTTTACTCTTCATTCTAATCATTCTGCATGTTCTGAAATTCTTTATATATCTAAAGATGTTTTCTGGAGAAATCTCTTTAGCATATCATGACATTTGACATATTTCATAGGATTGTTATGATCATCCGAGTAAAAGGCTTCACAATTAGACTTTGGTTTTAATGTAAACTGCACAGAAGTTAGAATTGTTCTGACAACACAATTCAACCACTGCACAAATTATATTATTGTAATATGAAATAACACACTTCAAGGAATCAGTAGATACAATCTATTATCCAAGACTGCTGCAGAACTCATAGAGTGATACAAATGAGAAGAAAGTTGGGAAAGGGGTAAGACACTTCAAGCTTTTTCGGAAGACAAAACAAAAGGAGAACAACATCGACTTTCTACATTTATCTATAAGGCAGATGGTCAAACTTGCTATACAAGATCTAAAATACAATGCTTATTAAGAGGTAGAAAATACCAGATAGTATTTAAGAAAAATATGTTGAGTTATTTAAAACAATCGTTATCTCGCTAAACTTTTAGAAAGTCAAACTCAGGTGTGCATCGCACTGTATGTTTTTTACTAAACAGGGACATTCCATACTCCATAGACCTGTGGTCAAACAGGAGGCCACAAAGGAGTCGGATGGGAAGCAGGAGATCACTTTTTAATTCATTAAGGACTGAGCTTTCTCACTAAGGAAAAAATTCCTGCTACCTCTCTGGGATGTCATTAGGACTTTAAATTAATGGGGATTTCTCGAATTAAGGACAATTTCTCTGAGCAAGAGAGTATAATTCTGTATATAAGGCAATAAAACTAAAGGGAAGGACAAACTCAAATACTTCCCCTTCAAGAAGGTGCCAGATCCATCTTATGTAAAAACATACATTCCACTAATCTTATACCATCCTCTTAACCACTAAAATGCAAATGAAAATATTCTTCAGAGTCCAGCACCAGCAGAATTGCTCGTCTGAGCAATTCAAGAGCTGTCTGAGGCAAAAAAAAAATATCTTAGCTACCAAATTAAACTTGGGTAGCTTACACATGGGTGAGTAACCCTGGGTTTTCTTATTTCTTAATGCACCTGGGAGAGTTTGATTTATTTTTCTCCAACATAATTTTATAAGGCATAAATTTAATTTGAATTTTCCCTAACCTTTGGAAAAGTAGTGTTAAAGCTTCTTTTTTTTAAACCCACACATTAACATTCAATTCTTTCACTTTTATTAAATAGTTTATATATAAAAGGAAATATTGAGGTGTTCTGTATTCATATAAACAATCATGGTAACATTTGAAATTGTAAAGAAACCCACAGAAGAAAATATGGACTTAAATACTTACAATGCTAAGCTAAGCACAAGTGATCATTCTAGATAATATCTTTTAAATAGATAGACACAGTTTGTGCTGCTTCTAGGAGCAAACACAGGAGAAGTACCCTCACAAATCTTTCATTCTCTTTACTTTTTTTTTTTTTTTTTTTTTTACCACAAGACAGGATGGTCCAGTTTGGAAAAACCAAGATCTTTTCTAAGTTCCAAATAGGTGCCGTTGCTCACCCAAGAGTCGTCACTGGATTTCCTGTGGAAGAGGAAAGAGTTTCTTGCAGACTCTAGAAAGCATTCTCTTATTTTCTCTCTCTCCCTCCTCTCCATCCCCTCCTCCTAACGATCATTCTCACATGCATTTGACCTCCCTGACAGTCCAGTACTGGAACTGTGGGGAGCCTGGGAGCCTGGAAACCATTTTGTAATTTCTGACCTTAACTTCTGAAACTTGGAGGCTGCGAAAAGTGGTGCTTCTGAGAGAAGGACAGGTGGAGGGAGGATGTGTGGTATATAAAATGTGGCCGGAATGACAGCCACCACTCTGGGGATGACCTGTGTAATCTCTACACATCCACGAGGAGGATCGTAGGATGATAAGTGAACATTAAAACAAAATAATGCTAGAAAGGATTGGAAGCCACAAGAGTCTGCAGAGAATGGTCTTGATTTACTTACTTTTTTGAATAGTTAATATACTGCATAGATTGGAATTCAAAAGACACGAAAGAAAACATAGCTTTTCAAAGTTCTCTTTCTCGTCCTATCTCCCAGCCTCCCAATTCTTCTACTGGACACAGTGATGTTATCAGCTTCATTCTGTCAGAAATATTCCATGCACACACACACATACACACTCCACCCTCTCCAGGTTTTACATAATGGTAGTACTAGACAGTAATCAGCACCTGGAGTATTTGACATAATATATATTGGAGATCATTTCTCAGCAAACTGCAGTCCAAGGATCAAATACAGCCTTCCACCTAGATACATATTTTTAGGGCCTCATGCATGCCAGACAAGGATCCTACCACTGAGCTACATTCCTAGCCCTGATGGTCTTTGAAATAATGTTTTACTGTGACACAACCATGCACATTTGTTCAGTATCATCTGTGGTTGCTTTTATGTGAAAGCTGGGTTGAGTAATTGCTACTGAGACCTTATGGCCCATGCAAAGCCAGGAATATTTATTATTTGCTCTTTATAGGAAAATTTGGTGACTCCAGCCATAAGAGATTCCTGATTTTTCTTTTAAAGAGTTTTAAGATGTTCCACACTTTTCTAAGTGATGCCCTACTGGTGAGCAGTTGGGTTGTTTCCAAACTCTCACCATTATAAATAAAGTATTATGTTATTTTACACAAGTACAAGTATAGTTTCATTAAAAAATTCCTGTAAGTAGCATTGCTGGGTCAAAGAGCATGTGTATTTATAGTTTTCACTGATATTATCACGTGTTTAGGAGCAAAAGTGGAGCACAGTTCCCCCACATTCTCAGGAACATAGATTTTTATCACACTTGCTTCCCTATCCCAATAGAGGGACACGTTTCAAATGAGCCAGTCTGTGTGTCAGATAGTTCACTGTGGTACCAAGAGGCCTGATTTGGTCTGAGCTGCAGTTTCCACTTGGAATTTCCAGTGATATTTTCACGATTCTTTGACAGATGCCGACAGTAACACCCAAGCCCTCATTTTCCTCTCCAAAAGCCCTTTGCCAGGTTTCTCGTTTGAACAGTTTCAAGGAGGATTGCTATAGATGAACAACTCTCCTACTGAAAAAATCTTCCCCATCCAGTACTACACTGTAATAATAATCCTTTTATAAACAGTTTTTACAAGTGATTATATTAACAGCCAAAAGGAAAATGAGAGTCGGCTGTCCGACTGTGGTGGTTTCCAATCCTTTTCCATCCCAGACGTCCTTTTTAGAGGACGGTAAAGACAGGGCTGGCCTTATATCCACACTTTGCCTTTGAATGTTCAGTCGTTTCCCAGAGAGCTCCACAGACTTGGTGAGGCCATTCTTAATGCTTTTATTTCAGGTGCACTTGATGAATCTCCTTAACTAGTCTCCGAGACAGTCTGGCTACTCACAATTTTAAATGATCCTAAAATACACTGTAATGACTGTCTCTGTAAACATAGATTTTCTTTTTTTAAAAAAAAGATGAGACTAGGGCTGGGGATGTGGCTCAAGGGGTAGCGTGCTTGCCTGGCATGGGTGGGGCGCTGGGTTCGATCCTCAGCACCACATAAAATAAAATAGAGATGTTGTGTCTGCCAAAAACTAAAAAATAAATATTAAAAAATTCTCTCTTTCTCTCTTAAAAAAAAAGATGAGACTAGATGATTTAAGAAGGAGAAAATAAAAGAACCAATATAGCTAAGGGTACGTGTATATCTCATTAACTTGTCAGTAAATCAATTGATTAAACTGTTAACTTATCCATTTTTCTATATGCTGCTTTTTTTTTTCAATAAGGAATTTAAGGCGTCTCTCGAAAATGCTTAAATGAAGTTGTGAATATTTCAGGATAAAACTCTAGTGGTGTGATCTTAAATTGCTAATATCCTAAGTGGGAGGAAGGAACATTAGCTTAAGGAACAAGTGCACTATATTGTGGAGATGGAAACATTATTTGTTGCTGTTTTGATGTTTTGGGATATATATTTTAATGCTGCTGAGAGATTAGTAGCTAAATCCTTCTAAAAGTTATTTTATTTGTCCATTAAAAGCAAGCAAACAAATAAAATACCCCCAAACAACAATGCAACACTAGTTTGGGTCCTGAGAGCAGGATGCAGTGGGAGGAGAGCAGGAGCTGGGTATGCGTAGGCCTATTAACTTTGAATAAAACAAAACAAGAACAAAAACAAGCAACAAAAACCCCACCTTAAACCATATAGAGCTCCAGCCACGTTGTCAGGAGAGCCAGGTCCCCAAATGGGATGTTCCACTGGGTCCTGTGTCAAATCACCGACAATTCCCTGGGCCTTTGTTTCTTCTCAGTTAAAATTTAAAAGGGGATGGGGACAGTGAAGACCTACAATCTTTCATACCTCTTTTAAAAAATTAAGGCTAGGCTGGTTGTGGTGGCCCACGCCTGTAATTCCAGTGATTTGGGAGGCTGAGCCAGAAGGATTGCAAGTTCAAGTCCAGCCTCATCAACTTAGTGAGGTCCTAAGCAACTTAGGAAGACCCTGTCTCAAAATAAAAAAAAATAAAAAGGGCTGGGGATGTGACTCAGTGCTCAAACGCCCCTGGGTTCCATCTCCAGTACCAAAATAAATAAATAAAATATCTGTTTTAAATAAGACTTTCTTAGCAAGTTATTTTCAATATATTCCAAATCCAAGCCCAAGTGTATTGGAATTTCTTCCATTCAAGAGTGAAATCACTTGGAATTCCACTTTGGTAGCCAGTGGGGCAATCACGCATTATCTCTATCATTGTATAAAATACATCTATGTGGGTGACCAACCTTAGCTATGAATTCCTTAAGCTGGCCTGGTATTGGAACCAGCTCTGACTATTGCCCTCGCTTCTTCCACAGCATCTACTGAAACACTCCACCCACAGGGTGAGGCCCTGCAAGGGTGCTGGGAAAGAGCCAAGGTTGCACAAAGGAAGGTGCCAGTCCCACCCAAGGACAGTGATGAGAAATGTCACAGAAGTCAGGCCCTGGCACAGAGAAGGGTTTTGCCATTCTGGAGAAGAAAAATCCTCCAGAAGCTGTTGTCTGGGGAGGGGAAACTCTTGCTCTCTTTCTCCAGCCCAGCAGCACGAAATGTAGCCAGACCTCCCAACCCACGTTGGATCCAGGCACAAACCTGAAAAACTGAGGCTGGTGTTCCACGTTATTTTCTTCTAAGACCTTCCGCCTTTCTCTCTGTAGCTGTTCAATTCTCTGCTTTTGTATTTCAGCTTCTTCTATGTTCCCTTCTTCTAGAAATCTGAGGCATTGAGGGAAAAAAGTGAAGGATTGTATTTCCAAGAAAACATAACAATCATTACTACTATACTTCCACGTGTTCAAGACTAGATACTCAGAATCTTCTCCTACTTCTAAGACTCCTCTCCCAGCCCTTATCTTGAGGTACAGAGGGTTATTTTGTGAATTGGTGATCTTGACATGGATCAAAATCTTGTACCTATAAAAGGGAATTTGGGGCTCAGTCTCTATCGTCTCCAATTCCACTATGTCTCCCCAACCTTCCCACAGGCAATCCTCTATTATTAGTGTCTTGGGGGAATCTTTCCAGAGATTCTTTACGCATACTTAGGCAAACATAAATGTATGTTCTTATCCCTCCCTCCCTCTTAAAAACACAAATGGTAGCATACTGCAGTATTATCTATAACCTTGAATTTTTCTTTTGCTTTCCTTTTTACTTAACAATATATCTTGGTGATCGTTTTATGGTAGTACTTAGACCTATTCATTTTTAATAGCAGTGCAATATTCAATTGCATGGCTCTAAGTTAATTTATTCAAACAATTCCCTGTTGGTAGACATTTTAGTTCCTCATTTTAAAATTTACAATTAATGCTGCAATGAATGACTTTGTGCATCTGTCATTTTACACCCGGGAAAACATATCTGGAGGAAAAAATTTTTAGAAGTGGAACTGCAGGGTTAAAGGGTGAGTCTGTAATTTATATGTTATCAACCTGACCTTTATAGGGATTACAGCAATTCACATTCCCATCTGCATGCTACGAGCAACCTTTTCTCTACTCAGAGCATATCAGATTTTAGAATTTTTACCAATCTGATAAGAAATGATATGTCCGGTGGTTTTAAAATTAGCATTTTCATATCATGACCCAGGCTGATCTTCTTTTCATATGTTTAAGAAAAATCTGCATCATGTATTTTGTACACTGTCCATTTTCCTATGCCTGTTACTTTCTACAGTGTTACTTTCTACAGTGTTGCTACTCTTCACAGTAAGAGATGTAAACACATATTTCTATCAGTCACCTATCTCTCAGCCTTGATTATATGTTTTTTTTTTTTTTAATTTGGTCACAAAAAAGTTTCTTTCCTTTTTTAAAAATAAAGTCAAATGAGGTAATCTTTCTTTTGGCTTCTGGATTTTGAGACTTAATTAGAATGGCTGAAGGGCAAGATTATTATTCCATTTCACAGAGTAGGAATCTGAGGCCGAGAAGGATCAAGAAATTTATCATATATCACACGGCTTGTTAATAGCAAACCTAGTATCATAACTTAGTTCTCAAAATGGGTCTCCTGACCCCTCAAATAGACAAGAAGTTCTTAATTATTACATGCAGTGAAACTTTTCAAATCAAGATTTTCTTTTTATATTTCCATAGAAATGGAGCTACTGATAAATAAAGGCTGTGCCACACATAGATGGAAGCTGGTCTCCAACTCTTCCATGACACAATTGTTTAGCCTCCCATCCCTGACTCTATGACATTATCTACCTTGCTCAGTCTCCTTTGGTGGCCTGAAAGTTGTTTAATATGACTTTTTGTAGATTTTTTAAAAAATTTTACATCTCCAGAGAAAAAGATCTGAAAAAAAAAATCCTTACCTTTGATCTGGTCTAAACCGAGTGTCAGTCGGGGGCAATAAAGACTTTGACAAGGAGTCCATTTCATTTAACTCCAATGCAAACTGTGTGAAGCCATAATATTGCTCATATCCTTTTGGCATGGGATCTAAAAAAAATAAATAAATCATTCATTCACTCCTAACTTGCAGTTCATTTAGATTACAATTTAATTCCTTTACCTTTTCCATCTCAGCCCAGCTACAATTGTTCTCTCTTAGCTCTCAACCATTCCATTTTGATTACAATATTCTGACTAACAAATAGGTGCTGCATATTTCTCTATAAATTTTCTTCTCTGTTAATATTCTATCTACAGGGGTAAGAACTCTGTTCGGTCCTACAGTGAATTGAAACAATGCTGTGAAGGTGCCATACAGTTTGTTTTAAAATAATTTGCTATGAAAATAAACATGGTTAAAAGGACTCTGATCTATTTTCCCTGACCAGYTAGAGTTTTCCTCTCAAGAATTCGTTGTTTTTTCTTTTTCTTTCTTTTTTTTTTTTTTTTGGTACCAGGGATTAAACCCAGGGGCACTCAGCCACTGAGCCATGTCCCCAGCCCTACTTTGTATTTTATTTAGAGACAGGGTCTCACTGAGTTGCTTGGCACCTCGACATTCTAAGGCTGGCTTTGAACTCATGATCCTCCTGTCTCAGCCTCCTGAGCCCCTGGGATTACAGGCGTGCACCACCGTGCCTGGGGAGAATCCATTTTTTCTTTGAGTGATATCAGACTCTCCTGAAACTGCCCAGTACCTGGAACAGTGTTGAACCATAGTACGTAATCAGTAAACCATAGTACACAGTCTTCTTTTCTTCCATTACTGCCTTTCTTTTCACCAACTCTTGTCCCCTAAAATCTTACATGTTTAACTTTAAAAAAAAAAAATTAAGAATATTGCCAACTTGAATTCTAGCAAAAAACCAAGCTAAACACACCCAAGTTTCTATATCAGGTAAGCCAAATGTAGACTAATAAAACTCTTATCATATTAACTCTCGCTATTCATATGTATAAATAAAAATGCTTTCCATGAACTTTCCTGAAGATTCACTTTTTGAAGCTTCAGAAAGTCCTCTTTGTAACTAGTCCAATTCTTTGTGTATCCTAAGCATAAAAATAATAGCAAAGCTTCCTATTGTGTCTTCCACCCCAGCCCCCAGGCACCAGAGAGCAAAGATAGTGGTTCTTCTTCTTCTTCTTTTTTTTTTTAGTATTTTTTTTAGCTGTAGATGGACATAATATCTTTCTTTATTTTTATGTGGTGCAGAGGATCGAACCTAGTTTCTCACCCATGCAAACCAAGTGCTCTATCACTGAGCCATAAACCCAGCCTGTGGTTCTTCTTAAAGATGGCCCAGGGATGCTCATAGCCAATGAGGAGACGTGAAGTTAGGAATCACAATGACGGCTTCAATAGTGTTACTTTGTCAAGACTCTGCTTTAACATCCAGAGAGGTTGATAGTTCTCATCTTAGGTACTTCATGCAAAAGAGAGAGACTATCTCACTTGCAAAATCTCATGCATGCCTCTAAAGCTAACCACAGGGACAAGTCATTCCAGCCGCACTGTGACCTCTGCCATGGTGAAAGGAGTGGCCGCCACCTGTTGAAAGAGGCATTCACTGTGGCTGCCTACTTTATGTTCATTTCTCTCGCTTGCCAGAGGAACACGGATTCTGTTCAGGTGGCATTGTACCCTCCCCAAGGGATGAACCCACGTCCATCTGAATCTCTCCTGCCCACCTTCCTGCCAACCGTCGTTTCCAGAACAAGTCTGGGCCCATTTCCTGCTGACTTGATCTAAAGACATATTTTCTGGGGGATCCTAGGAAATACTGCATTCCTGAGGAAAGGGAAGCACTGGAGAACCAAGCTCTTTGTCCTCCCCTTCCTCCCCACTTGGAGCACAGTCACATGGTGATGAGCTATTAAGTTTTGTCAACCTTTTTAAATCCACAAGAAGAAACACCATGGGACACTGAGAGAGGCAGGATGGGCTTCCATTCATTGATCTATGTCTTTGGTCCCAGGTAAGACTGACCATGTAACAGCCAGGGCCACCACCCTCTCTCACTGGTAAGCAATGGCACATAGCTACTCATGAGTGGTTTTCTTTTTGGTTTTTATCAGCTCAAAGCATCCTAAGAGCTTTTACATCATGCCCCTACTTGGAAACAATCTATTTTTCAGGTAGGAAGGTGATTAAACATTGTGGGACATGTTGAGGGAGGCAGCTGCTTTAAGGACCCAGCGACCTTCTGGAATCACAGGGGAGGTCAGCACAGCTCATGGGTTAGGTCAAACCAGGATCCTCACTCTTGTAGAGTCCCCAAGTCACTTTTTCCAGTAACACTTTCCTCTTGGTCCTTACTCTAGGATGACTTCTTGCACTTCACTGACCTTCCTTGGTAGTGCCCAGCACAGTCACATGTGTGGGCCACACGACTGCCCATTGACTGGCAGCGGCCTATTCTGGGGCTGAGAACCCAGGACCTGGCAGCATCTGCGGTGCTGTGGTAAGGACCTGGGGGGACGGTTAGGTGAATGAAAGAAGAGCAAATCCCTCTAACCCGATTCAAAGCAGGTAGATACTGGAGACACTGAATGGAACTGATTCCTGTGGGACAGTGGTTCCTCTTGCCCCGTCCACCTGCCTTCTGTGTGACTCGGGTCAATGGGCCCTGAAACTCACTTGCTCGCCAGAGGCACATGGATGAGGAGGAGCCCCCGCAGTAGATGCTCTCATGCCATTTCCCAAAGAGCCTGTGCACTGCTTTTCCACTCCTGTCAAATACCGTGCCTTCGATCTCGTGGGCATTAGTACTCCAGTATTTTGCCTAGAATGCAAATGAGAGTTGTCTGTGTAGTACTTTGGTGTCAGCTTATTAAAAAGCAAAGCAAGAGAATGAATGCTAAGAGGGATTCTAGACCAAATATTGCATATGGCTTGCCAGGTCTGGGGTTGTTTGTTTTGTCTGACATTAAAATGTACAGCACAGTATTTCAAAATACGTATACAATGTGGAATGGCTAAATCAAGGTAATTAACATATTTTGCCTCCCATATTTATTTCAGTGAGAACATGTGAAACTACTCTCAAGTACATGTTACACCATCATTAACTATTCTCACCACTTGTACAATAGATCTCTTGAACTTATTCCTCCAGTTTAACTGGAATTTTGTGTCCTCTGACATTTCCCTCATCCTTCATCCACAACCCCTGGTAACCACCACTACTCTTTGATTCTTTGAGTTCAACTTTTTAAAAGTGTGCATATAAGTAAGATCATGTGGTATTTGCTTTTCTGTGCCTAGTTTCCTTCGCTTCCATGTCTGCCAGGTGCATCCATGCTGTTGTGTATGATAGGATTTTCTTTGTAATGACTGAATAATATTCCATTGCTTGTACATAGCACATTTTCTTTATCCATTCATCTGTTGATGGACACAGACTGATTCTGTATCTTGGTTCTTATGAGTAATGCAGCAATGAACATGGGGGTGCAGATTTCTTTTGGATATTTCCCCAGTATTGGGACTGCTGGATCATATGGGAGTTCCATTTTTAATTTTCTGAGGAACCTTAATCCTGTGTTCCCTGTTGACTGTACTGGCTTACATTCCGACCAAGCGTGTGCAAGTGTTTCCCTTCCTCCACATCCTTGCCAACACTTTCATCTTTTTGATAATAGCCATTCTAAGAGGAATGAGGTGATATCTCATAGTGAGATATAATTTGCATTTATTGATGATTAGTAATATTGAACATTTTTCATGTGTCTGTTGGCAATTTGTGTAGCTTATCTGGAGAAAGGTCCTTTGTTTTTTTTTTTTTTTTTTGGTTGGTCTGCCTGTTTGTTTGTTTTTTCTGTGCTAAGGATTTAACCCATAACTTTGTACATTCTAGACAAGTATATCCCTAGCCTCTTTACCCATTTTTAAATTAGATTATTTGTTTTCTTACTATTCAGTTCCTTATATATTTTGCATATCAACGCCTTATCAGGTATACAGATTGCTAATATTTCCCCCTATTCCAAGGGTTGACTCTTCACTCTACTGATGTTTCTTTTGATGTGCAGAAGTTTTTTTGGTTTGTTAAAACCCATCTGTTTATTTATTATTTTTTCTCTTGTTGCTTGTGCTTTTGGGTCCTAGTTTAGAAAGAAAAAAAAAAAATCATTGCTTGGATCCTTGTCATAGAACTTTCCCCTAAGCTTTATCTGAGCAGTTTACAGTTTGGGATCTTATATTTATGTATTTAATCCATTTTGAGTTTTGTATATGAGGTAGGTGAAAGGTCTGATTTCACTCTTTTTGCATGTGGATATCCAGTTTTCCCAACACTGTTTATTTAAGAAAGAGTTCTTTCTCATTGTGTATTCTTGGTATCTGTCAAAAATTCAGTTAATTATAAATGTGTGGATTTACTTTGGGGTTCTCTATTCTGTTTCCATTGGTCTACATGTCTGCATTTATGCCTGGGTTCAGGCTTTTTTTTTTCTTTAAAAAATAATAACTTAAAAAAAAATAAAAAATAATAACTTTAGGGGCTCAGATTGTGGCTCAGTGGCAGAGCGCTTGCCTTGCACATGTGAAGCACTGGGTTCCATCCTCAGCACCACATAAAAATGAATAAACAAAATAAAGATATTGCATCCATCTATAACTAAAAAATATTTTTTAAAAATAACAACTTTAGTTATTTAGTAAAAATCAGTGGTTAAATTTCTATTTGGTTTGTAATTGGATTACTAACATTTGTGCAAGATACATTTCCCCCTACCTTCCCTACATGCAATGTAGGAATGAAAGGCTCAATTCTATTCTTGGTTCACAAGCCCCCTCCTATGGAGCAGCTGTTCCATGGCTGTCTTTGTGACTCACTTCTAGGGCACTATGCATCTGAATACTACAATTTAGAAGAAATAAATTTGTAACTCATATTTTTTTTCCTTAAAGGAAGTAGTTATTTGCAAACCAATCAAGGATAATGTTGCTTACATTTGCAGTTTATTATTTTTCCCCAAAATTAGTACTGCTCGTTCAGATCACAGGAACGTGCACAACCCACGTTTTCTCTGTGTATTGGTTGCCGTCAGTGACTGATGCAGCCACGCGCTCCATTCATTCCAGCTCAGCTCCAGCCCAGTTCAGCTCCGTCTTGTGGGTTTTGTACAGTACCACACTCCAGCCAGAAGAGGGAGCTCCAACTCCCTAGAGTTGATTTTTTTCAATTCTTCCCAACTACCTGGCTGCCCTTTAAAATCTCCATGAAAGAACAGAAGGCATTTCTCCATAAATCAAAAATCCCAGCACTATTTTCAGCTGAAAACAGAATCCACATTTGGAAACCAATAAAGTTGAGTGGCATTTTCAGGCCATATTCTGGTGGTTCAGTTTCTCCATTCCCAGGCTGAGGTAAAAATGGGAAGGAAGGGCAGGGTGTAACAGCATCTCAGAGGCAAATCCAAACTTTAAAACTGAGTTCTCCAGTCACACAAAAATGGAGGTGGTGTGGGGTGTGTGTGCGGGTGACTGTCCTTAAGTTCTTAAGTTAATTATGAAGCAGAGGTCAGATTTTCTCCTAGAGATATTTGCCAACAAATCCAACGCTGCCAATTCAATGGGAGGCCACAGAGGGGCCCAGCCATACTCCATAGGTAACCAGCATCTGCTGTCAGGTTCTCTTTCAGCACTGGAGGCAGGTCCAGTGTTCATTTCTCATAACTACCAAAGTGGATGAGAACAAGGTGGATGGTAGATGTTGGAGTTGAGCATATTTCCTTGGGGAAAATATTCAGAATTGGGCGATCCAGATCTTGCATTGGACAAGAGGTAATATACTCCTGCTCCAGGTTGCCTTTTGATTCTTTTTTGCAGAGAGCTTAGGTGAAGCTTTCAAGATAGGATCCTTTTTATTTCTCCCCAAATATAAGGTCATTACCAGCTTTATGTCTTTCTATAACCCAATTTGACTTACAGAATATCATAAAGACTCCAATCAATCTTATCATAAGTGTCCCCTATGGGTTACAAGTAGAGCAGAGAGGTATTGTGTGAAATTCCACAACTGGAACCTCATCACTCAGCTCATGATTTTGATCTTAGTTAAATGCAAATATTCATTGAGGAGGATAATGCTTTAAAGCCATTTTAAGTGCAAAAGATTTTCAAGGGCAAGAAGGATTCAAGGAGGGAGAGAATATGGAGGGAAACCTCAAATCAAAGCAGTTGAAAGATAAAAAGACTATTCTATATGTCTTTAAAAAAATCTGACCAATCTTTCCACTTATTCTCTGAGTATGATGGACCTCTGCTGTGTGCCAGGCACCCACCAGGTCCAGGCAGCAGAGATGATAAAATGGACCCAGTTTTTTTCTCTTGTAGAGGATGGTGAGAAGGGTATGAAGAGTAGGAAAACAAAACAAGAGCAATTTCAGATGGTAACAAAAACTGTGAAGAAAATGGGTTGAGAAAGAGAGTGACCGGCAGGTTGGGTGGTGATATCAGGGTCTGGGTGGAGCAGCCCAGGAAGAAGGAATTGAGGAAAGAGAGAAGGCAGAGTGGCCCAAGGATGGAGAGGAAGGACGAGATGGTAGTAGGAGCTGAGGTTGGAAAGGGGTGAGGGTGGTGTGTATATATGAGTGTGTGTGTCATGCATGCACATGTGCAAGTGAATGTGCACGGAGCTGAGGATAGGGAGTGCAGACTGTGCAGCACCCTGTGGGAAATTGCTGGAGGATTTTGCTCAAAGGACTGATATGGCATGACTTTTCTTATGGTAAAACATACAAACATAAAACTTCCCATGTAGCCATTTCCAAGTGTATGGATCAGTGGTATGACACACTTGCAATGTGGTGCAGCTGTCACCACTATTTCCAGAACGTTTCATCCCCATTAAATAACTCCCTATTCCTCCCTGCACCAGCCCCTGGCAGCCACCAGTCTGCTTTTTGTCTCTCTGATTTGACTCCTTGAGGGACCTCAAGTGACTGGAACCTGCAGTATGTGTCCTTTTGTGTCTGGCTTATTTCATGTAGGATAAAGTCTTCAAGGTGCACCCACGTTGGGGCGTGATGACGTATTTTAAAAGGCATTCTCTGGCTTTGTGCTGAGGACAGATCACAGGAGAGTAAGGGTGGAAGGAAAGAAGATAGGACGGGCCTTGGCCCTTGTCCAGGTGACAAACAAAGGTGGGGCTGTGGTTGGCTCTGATTATGTGTTGGCACAGAGGTGAAGGTGACAGATGCCTCAGATGCCCTTTGTCCTGGGGCACCAGCTCTGCCACCGCCCTTCCAGGGTCAATGTTCAGAGAGCCCCCCACCCCTGAATTACCTTTATGAAATTCACTTTGCAGTGGCAGGAATCGTCATTCAGGTTCTTGATGACGATCTCTCCGTAGTGCTCAATCCACCTCTGTCCACTTAAGATGTTGTGGATGCAAGAGGTCACTTTGTTCCACTCAAAATGATCTCCAAAACTAGAAAGGAGGGAAGAGAAGTAGTAATGGTTCCCAGAGGAGCCAGCAGCAGATACAAACACTGGCTGCATTACAAACTAAGTCTGGCAAGTGTCACTCATCCCTTCACTCGGGGACCTCACACCGACTGTGCCAAGCGGGCACTCTGGGTGTCTGCTCTTCAAGGAGGACCTTCTGCCATACAGCACTCTGGAAGCCACCAGGGACTTTGCTAGAAGCTGTGGTTTCCTGGAGTCTCCTGCTCCCTCCTCTGATGAAGGAGGCAGCTCAGAGCCAGGAGCAGCCTGTGTAAAGTTATTGATCCAAGACAGGGAAGAAGGCAGGAGGAAGGTACAGGAGTCTTACACAATTTGCTACTCATCTATTATTTATATCTTATACAATGAGAGAACATTCTGATTTTACTTATGGAATTAAACAATAACTATGAAGAGACAGTAATAAGAAAAAAACGCTTAGGTGGCACTTGCTATGTGCCAAGTACTATTTTAAGCGCTTTACATATATTATCTATTGAATCTTCACAACTGCCCTTTGAAGAAGGTGGTTTGTTGTCTCCATGTTGCCAGTGAGGGAGCTGCTGATGTTAAAGGAAGGCAGCAGCCTGTTGGAGGACCACCATGAGCAAGTGGCAGAGAGGGCATGGGAATTGATGCAGCCTGGTTCCATAACCCCTGGTCATACTCATTTTGCTTTATAAATAAGTATCAATAATCTCTGCAAGATTGAGACTATGTCTTTTTATTTTTTTTAAGACCATGTCTTTCTAAAAAGGAATTTTTGACAATGAGGCAAGACAACAATGTTAAAGAAAACTACCATTCTTAACCTTGTTAGAGGGTAGAAGTGAATTTTTAAAAAGCATCTATTCAGAGAAACCTGTTCTGCAAGAGGCGTTTCTTCTTGAGGGAAAGAAAAAAATGAGACTGCCCAAATGAGAAATATCTGAACTCACTGTCAAACAGATTAAAAGAAAAATCATACTCTCATTGCTATAGGGTTGGCAGGCATCCTATCCCTAAAGTGGGTTCTTGGCCCTAAATTCTGTAAAGTTTCTAATCACAAAAGAACAACTTACGCTGGCAGAGTCACATGGGTTGTGCCAATAGGAACAATTTCCATGGATTTACCCCAGAATTTGTTTTTCCATCTCACATCTGAAATGAAATACCAAATAATACATACTTAGTAAGACAGTAAGGTAGATCAAAGAGTTCTCAGGCTAGATAAATGAACAACAACAATACAGTACAATCATCAGTTATTATATAGGAAAATATCTCATGTCAGTAAGTACCAACTGGGTACCTAGAAAATCATAAGACAATCAGGGAAACTAAAACTATAAGACAAAATCCTTCCTTTGGAAGTGTTAATAGCATGAAAAAGGTAGACAGAAGTGGAAACAACTTATGAGCACACAGAGAGGCCCAGGTACTCACTGAGTGTGTTATAACTGAATGGAACTAGAGAGGAAGGAATGACCAAAATGTCTGGAGACAGCATCAGAAGAGGTTCATCAGAAGGGGCCATTTAAATGAAGCTTGGTAGAATGTTTAGGAGTTCACCAGGCAGAGAAAAAGCAGCTTAAGGCAGAAAAAATAGCTTATTCAAGCAGACAGAGATGTAAAAGAGTAGAATGTGGTTTTGTCCTATAGGTCCGAGGTTGTCTAGAGAGAAGAGTAGAGATTTAGATGGAGGGAGGAAAACAAAACAAAACAAAACAAAAACCCAGTGAACTCTATAAGCCTGGCTGAGAAGTCTGGTTTGTGTGCACTGAGGGAAAATAAACCTGAAACCCACGTGATTGGATACAGACCTTGCAAAGACAAATAGAAGCAATGTGGAGAATGGAAAAAGGGTAGAAGAGATTAAAAACAAGTCAACAAGAGGCTACTGTAATCGCCCAGGGCATAAACAGGAATGAAGTGAATCATCAATAGCCGTGGGGATGCAGTTGTCCCATAAATATTAAAGGAAGAGAAATAGACAGGCTTAGTGGAAAATTATATAGAAATCAAGAAAGAAAGGGAGAATTTATGAATGATATCAGATTCTTCTAACTTGCATGAATGGTGGTACCAATCCAGGACACACGATTAGAGGAAGCAAGGAAGCCAGTGTGAGCCTGGGCTGGGGTCCAGCTGAGAGGTAAGGCTGAGACCAGGAGTGGCTAGCTGCATAGTATATGAATCTATTTATATGCAATGCCCCAAATAAGCAAATTTATATAAACAGAAAGTAAATGAGCAGTTGCCCAAGGATGGGAGATGTTGAGGGAAATTGGAAGGGGAAGTATTTGCTAAAGACGTTTCTTTTGGGAGTGATGAAAATGTTCTAAGCTTAACTGTGCTAATGACCACACAAATCTGAGTAGAATAAAACCCACTGAGGGGCTGGGGATGTGGCTCAAGCGGCAGCGCGCTCGCCTGGTATGCATGCGGCCCCGGTTCAATCCTCAGCACCACATACAAAGATGTTGTGTCCGTCGAAAAACTAAAAAATAAATATTAAAATTCTCTCTCTCTCTCTTTAAAAAAAAAGAATAAAACCCACTGAATTGTGCACTTTATATGAGTGAATTGTATAGTATGTCTGTGAATTTTATATATATATATAATATATATAAATTTGTGACCTAAAAGATAAAAAGATAACTAACGGGTTGTTGAATAAAAACTCATAATGTATTGTATGGTTTATAACATACATAAGTAAAATGTTTGTCAACAATAGCACACATACACATACACACACACAAAAAAAAAAAACACAAAGGTTGGAAGAGGGGAAATGGAAGTATACTTTTAAGTTTTTCATTCTATATGTGAAATAACATTACTTGATGATAGATTGTAATATGTAATATTTAATACGAATCCTAAACTAACCAAAGAGGTATAGCTAATAAGCCAACAAAGGGAATAATACAGAGTAACAGGAAGTATTCATTTAATACAAAATAAGGGAGAAAAAAAGGAAGGGAAACAAAGAAGAGATTTGACAAACAGAAAACAAATAAAAAGAGGACAGTTTAACACAACTCTATCTATAATTGCAATAAGTGTAAAGATCTACACAACACAATTAAAAGGCAGAGAAATGTCAGATTGGATAAAAAAAGATTTAAGAATCATTGAACTTTGAAAATATAAGGAATTATCCAGAAAATGGTTGGAGGAAGAACTGCCCAGGAAAAGGATGATTAGGAACAGAGTCCAGGAGGAAACTGTGGCCCACCTGGAGCACACAGGGACTACCTTGAGAAGACCCCGTCAACTAAATGGACAAGTAAAAATGAACAACAACAACAACAAAAAACATAACTTCAAAATAGCAAAGAAGAGTTATTCATGATATTTAGCAATTACGACATTAGAAACCTTAGGAGAATTGTTTCCAGAGAGTTTTGATGAAAGGTAGAGAGATTTCAAATCAAGCTTCAATTTTAACTTTAACAGCAAAGACTGAGAAAGGAAGCCATGGTACTTTAAACTGATCATATCAATTATCTCCAGAGAGAGGGACTGGGTGGCTGAGGAAGGGGATGGCAATGGAGTCACAGCCTACTGTTTTGTACTTTTTGAGTTTTACAAAGATCTGTAGGCACTGTGGGAAATCAGGTGACATCATTGTTAGCAGAGAAAAATGCTTTAAAAACTGACATGTGCTCACTGTTTGAAAACCCAGGATGCTCATATTTTATTTCTAAGGTAGATTCCAATTTATTTTTTAATAAATGAAGATGTTAGTAAAATGAATTCACCCATGTCAGAAATATTTACAGCCTTGTTTATTCCTGACAACAATTTGCTACCCTTTCCCATCCAAAATATAAATTAAACAAAATTTTAGGAATGACAATCTTAAAATGAAAAAGAAGTCATCAATATAAAATGTGATTTCAGAAGTAAGATTTCAATGTTTTGAAAACAAAACTTCCCTTGCTATCTATACTCTGATAAATACGGGGAAATATTTAGTATCTCTTGAAATAAGAGAGGCATGACAAGTAGCCATGGAATAAAATAGAGAAAAAGTTACAGGAATAAATAGTGTCAAACTGACAAAGATGAAGGATTTATTTAAAGGGAAAAGCTAAACCATCTTTTTGAAAATATCAAACTAATATCAATTAAAATAAATCACTCAATATCAATAAACAATTGACAAATATCAACTACTCTTTAGAGGTAAGAGGTGAGAATGTCAAGTGGAGCAGGTCCTCCAAAGAGACCTAAGTCTTGGGATTATTTGATCTTAGTAAGCATTTATAGTAATTCCTGAATCAAATAAATCTATAATCATTACATAAAATGGAAGTCAAATATATTAGCACATTACCTTGCCAGAAAACAAAATTTCCAGATTCAGCGTGACATGCAGAGATAGGTGGATGGTGGCTGACCTAATAGAGACAGAAGGCAAACACCAAAAAAATGAACAAAATGTTGCATATCATGAAATATCTTCTTTTCTCCTTGATCTGTGATATGACACAAAGTACAGAGACTTCACTGAAAGAAAACTTCTGTAGTTTCCTTCAACAAGTCTGTCCTCAAGAGGGCGCTCCTGATACAGTCATCTGTGAATTGCTCAGCTTGATCAGAGTGTAGAAAGTTGTTAATGGAAATCTCTGGAAACCTCTAGAAGCTTCCCTGGGAATGTGTCCCAGTAGCAAAAGATGAGGATAGAGAGGTATTTTAAAAGGTGTAAAAATAAAAACAGTCATTTGAGGACTGCCCATTCATAAACCAAATGATCTGACATTGGCTACCAGGTATTTTAGGTTTTCTAAAAGTGCTGGCAAATATTTTAACTAAGATGTCCAAGAAAAAGAGTTTAACATGAAACTTCCAAGCAATACAAAAACACTCTCCCTTGGGCTCAGCAGATTTAACTCTTGAAAAGTGCTTTAAAAGCTGATTTAGCCTCATTAGATTTAGCCTCTTTTAAAATCATCTACAAGAAGACTGATCCAAGATAACTTTCTCTTTTTAAAAAAATTTTATTTATTTTTAGGTGTAGATGGACACAACATAATGCCTTTATTTTTATATGGTGCTGAGGATCAAACCCGGGTCCTGCCCGTGCTAGGCAAGCACTCTGCCGCGGAGCCACAATCTCAGCCTCCCAAGATAACTTTCAAAAAGAATAATTTCTGTAATAAAGAGCTAAACAATTATAGAAAGGTTCATTAGTTGTTAAGAATTATGTATTTCTTTTTTGTCAAAATAAAAGTATCTTGAATAAAAAAAGTAATTATGTCCCAGAAAAGAAAATCCCTACAACAGAGACTACCTTTTGATGTAGGGTCACTACTTGTTTTACTCACTAATTAAGAAGATAAAGAGAAAATGGCTCTCCTTCCATTTTCCTGTTATCTTAGTAATACTCAAGGAACATGTTCTGTCACCATCATTCAGCGCTTGGTGAAACATGCTGGTAGTAGTGTTTCCAGAAATTCTCTGAGTTAGCTGGTTCTTAGCAGTAATACCTTAAATTTAGAATATTTATCCCAAAGCCTTCATATTGTAAACACAGAGACTGAAACCGGAAAGATTAAGTAACATTTCCTTAAACACTGGTAGTTAGGGGAGAAATAGAGGGAAACCAGTGTTTCTGGTTTATCTCAAATTGTTTTTACTCCCCCTGCCCCCCAAAAAAGGTTTTCAATAGGTGTACACTGTTTTCAAACACATAAAACACTCAGAATACTAAGACCAGCCTGGAATGGACAGGTATGTTTGAGGAGAGGAAAAGGACCTCAGATATCAAAGGCATAGCCACTTGCCTTGATCTGGACCCCAATTGTGCAGAGGAACAGAGTTTGAAACCTGCTCTGTGCTCCCCACTCCTGCAGGTGGAGAACACAGGGATGGAGTGACCCTGAGTTGTGTACATCACAGACATGTGTGGCCAGTAGGATTGCAGCAGAACCCACTTGGGCCAGAGAGGAGTACAGATAAAGACTGACAGAGTRTAATCTTTCACGTGACTCAGGGAACTTAACCTCCAGCTGCTCTATGACGCAGGGGGTGCAAGGGTGCGGTCACTTGGTTTCTCTTAGCTCCCACATGCCTAAGAATGACAGTCCCTCACTGTCCTTTGGGATTTTCCAGGGCAATTTTCACTTTAAACTTAGAAACCTAAAGTCCTATAAAAGCAATCTGTGTTTGCCTTTGATTTTTATTTATGTTTTTTAAATCCAACCACTTGGAAGTGCTTTCATATTACAAAATGCTGCATCTCCTTCCTCCTTTCTCCCACCCAGAGAGCGCTCGATGAAAACAGCAGAGTTAACTTTAAACCATGGGATCATATAAAAATAAATCCAGGTCAGACAGTCCTTACCTGCCCCTCCACTTCCCAGCCCCACTGTGGAGTGGGAGGAAACTTAGGGAATGTCCCTCTCTCCCAAAAATGTAGACATATTTTAAAGTGGATTATTATAAAGTAGATTATATTCATCCCACAGAAACAATATAATAATGGGGGAGGTGAGCATTATAGCCTTCCTCAAGAACTTGGCATCTGTTATAGATTTAGCCAAATATAAACATCAAAGCAAAATAGAGTATATAAAAACTAGTCACGTATTCTGCAATATAGTAAATCCCATAAAACAGGATAAATAGATTGTCCATATAAATTATAAAAGATGACCTATCAGAGTCAGAAAATCAAGGGATAAGCAAAATAAAGGAAGGAGGAGGGCAGAATCAGGTATCATAAGGCCATAGGGAAGGTCATAGAGCAGAAGGAGGAGATAGGGAGAGAGGCGGGCTGGTGTGGGGAGGAAGCACAGAATGAATTTTTAAAAATCATGCTATATGCATATAAAATATTCCACAAGGAATTTCACCTTTATGCATAAGTAGAAAGAACCAATCAAAAATAAATAAATAGACGAGTGAAAGAAAGACCAGAAGAGTAGAAGAAGGAGAATGAGGGAAGAGAAGAGGGGACAGAAAAGGCAGGAAACGTGAATTGAAATTGAATTCCATGCTGTGGGATTGTGTTGGACTGAACCCGATTACTAGGTATAACTATAATCCTCCAATGTAAAAGAAGGGGCTATTATGCTACTATATATACATCTGATAAAATACAACTTTGATTTAAAAAAAAAAAACTATCATGCCAGATTAATAAACCAATGTTTACCAGAATGGCCCTAGATGGGCCCAAAAGATGCTTTCCAAATGACTAAATATCAACATTCATGTATCAGTGATTTTGCTGATTCCCCTTTAGGTTAAATGGGTCTTTGAGAATGGTTTATGTGCACCATTTTGCTTTTAAGAAGTTAACAAAGCTTCCTGGGGCAATTTACAAGGATGCCTTCTTTTTTTAAATACATTTCCTCCAAGAGCAAAAATTATTTGTGAAATGTTTCTGGATCATGCACCACAGGCTGCACTAGGGTCAAGAAGTCAGGAGACCTTCTGTTGTCCCACCAATCCTGGTTCTAATTCTGCAATGTCATCTGCTGTCTGTGTACCTTTGGGAAAATTTCTTAATCCCTTTCAGCCTCAGTTACCTTGTTTGTAAAACAGGACTAACGCCACTGATGGCCTATACAAAGAGACCACACATTTAAAATGTGTACAGAATTGTATACTGTCCAGGCAGAGGCTAGATTTTAATTTTTCTTGAGTGTATGAGAGTATTTCCACCTGGTTCTCATGGTGACCTTTTATCTTCATTCACTTTATTTTATAAATAGAAAGTCAGACAAGACTTGCTCAATGCTACACCATTAATGAGTGACATAGGCAGCATGCAGTCCCAAATCCAGGGCTCTTTTCTCTATGTCCCAGTAGCCTTTCTATGTCTCCCCTCAAAGTGGAGCTCCTGTCCCTCTCAAAGACACTGCACATCATTATAGTCCCTTTCCGTGAACATTTAAAGAAAGCATCTTTTGAATCTGACCTTTCCCACCTCTCTGAATTTCATTTATCTCTCTGTAAATGAGGTCTTAGGATCTCTCTTGGCTTCAAAATGCTGTGATTCTAATATCTGCTCTCATCATCCTCTCTGACTCCCAGCACCACAGGGGGCAGGGGATGCCAGCCAATTTGGAAATATGATTCTAAGGCTCTGAATAGTTTGAATGCCCATGGGAAGGGATAATTTAGAGTTAATCCCTTAATCTTTGGTGATGGCAGTCTTTCTACTGAATAATGAACATAACCTAACCTGTCTTTGTTTATATGGGATTTGGTTTGGTCTCTATTCTTATTCTTATATCTTAATTCAGAACCCCCCCAAAAAGGCAATAGATGCTTTTGAGTTTGAACTGATTCAGCCCCAGAGGAGATACTCAGCCTATAAGACGAATAGAGGCAGACCTTCTAGCTTCCTGCTCCATTGCTTCTCTCCAAAGAAAAGCAATTCCTAATTTATAAGGATTCCTAAGGACTCAATTAGTATATTGTTTTACTGTGCAAGTATTTATATGACTTCTTTCTTTCTTTCTTTCTTTCTTTCTTTCTTTCTTTCTTTCTTTCTTTCTTTCTTTCTTTCTTTCTTTCTCCCTCTCTCTCTCTCTTCCCCCCTCCCTCCCTCTCTCTCTCTTTCTTTCCAGAGATTGAACCCAGGGGCACTTAACCACTGAGCCACATCCCCAGCCCTTTTTATATTTTATTTAGAGACAGGGTCTCACTGAGTTGCTTAATGCCTCACTTTTGCTGAAGCTGGCTTTGAACTTGTGATCCTCCTATCTCAGCCTGCTGAGCGGCTGGGATTACAAGCGTGTGCTGCTTCGCCTGGCAAGACGTGTATCTTTCTTCCTATGAGCTTCACTGTAATTCTTCTAATTCTTAAGAACACTTATAATTTATTATTTATTTACATATATGAGGCTTTTCTTTACCCTGCTATAAACATTTTGATTTATGCTTTGAAAGTATTTTATATAAAAGTTAGTGGTCAAAGGAGAAGCAGATGAGGACAAGATATATTTATTTTGTGCATTTTTCTTTTTTGGATTTAGAAAAACATCAAACATATCACTTTTCTCCTGTAACTGCCCAGAGACAGAGCTACATAGCTCTCCTTGTTCCTGCACCCTACAACAGTGTAGGACAGCTTATGGAAAAGGGAACATACACCAGGTGAAAACAATCACCCAGGGAGGGGACTAAGGGGCCATTCTTCCCATGTCATTCATCATTTACTGTCTGACTTGAGGTGTCAGGCACTGTCCTAGTTTCTGGGAATAAAATGATAAACAAAAACAAAACCCCTCACCTTCATAATAGAGTTTATATTTTAGGGCAGAAAAGGACAGACAGACAAGACATGTAAGCACCTCATCTGTCAGTAGTGACAGGTGTTAGGGAGGACAAAGCAGGGGGTGAGGGATAGAGGTGTGGGTGGGGAGCAAGATAGCACTGTCTAACA